TGATGTCTGACCTCTTTACTTCCATATCAAGTGGACACGCAGGATGTGACCCGTGTCAAAGGGTGGTGGGACTTGGGGGGGATGGGGGAGAGGGGAGTCCAGGAACCGCCCATGTCCCCAAGGCCCGCCCTGGCAGTGTGAGCGTGTTGTAGCACAATAATAGCCTTTATTCTAGTAGTACGTAATGGTCACTTTACCATGTGGAAATCTCTTGCATTCTGGTGAGATTGTGGTAGTCTCATTTTGGATCTATGGTCACATGTTGGTTTATTGTGATGTACTATTTATTATCTGTGGTGGTAAGAAACTTGCATCTGCAAATTACTTGCAAATGCAATGACTGTTTAAGACCACATCATACGGTCATAAAACTGCTGTTGACCCAGAGTTGCATGTACAATCACAGAAAAGGTTGTGACCACTAGATAGTCTACAAAAATTATACATTGTTTCAAATAAAATTCCAAGGTGATTATCACTCCAACAACAACTATACAACATTTCTCTCGCCGGGGGCCGCACACCAGCCCCTGAACGTTGCTTACAAAGATGTCAAATGAACTGTCCACCCTAAAGATCGTCTTTAAGTAATGTATATTCAAAACTATGCATAACTGTCCAATGAAGAGAGAAGGTTTACTCCATTCCTCATGCATAAGCACAAACACTAACCAAGGGAGACGACAGAGCCTAGACCACGTACACGGACTTTTTTTTGAGGGGGGGGGGGGGCAGAACACAGTCGAACGGGCTAAAATCAATAATAAACGCTTCATTTAGAAATGAGACGAAAAAAAAGACTTGGTATCGAGAACGACCTCATTGGAGAACGAAGCTTTTGCGGCAGCCAAACTACGGCACCAAAAACGCGTGACGCATATAGGTGTTGGCGTCCCGGCCGGTCTGCGTGCGCGTCGGCAACCGAACCTCCCCCCCCAAGGCTAGGGCTTCTTGCCCCCCGCGGCCGGACGTGGCCGCCCGACCCTCCAGACGAACACACGTGGAACGCTCATGTGGACAACACCCACAACCCTCCGGCGCGCATGCAGACCGGTCGCGCAACATCTTGATTCATGTATTTTATTTATATATATTTTTTTCTTCTAAGGAGAGAGCAATACAGCGCATTCATTCTAACTAGTCCAAAACAAAGCCGTAATTTGTCTCGAGAAGAGCCAGTTTCTGCCTCCTTACAAAGAGCAGCTCATGAGCACCAGTGACGACGAAGACGACGAAACGAGGCCTGAAGTCGTGGCCACCTCCTTCCGGGCGCGCCCTTCCCGTGTCTCTTGCTGCCGCCCACACCACACGCCCACCGAGGCCACCGTCCGGTCTCGGTGTCTTTCTAGATGGCAGTAGCAGACGTGGTTCTCGATGGGCGATCGCGATTAACCTCAATAACTCCGGGTGGCAAGACAAACATGCCATGGTGTCAGCGGTCGTGTCTCCGGTGGCATGTAGGTCGTGCGGCGGCCTTGCCGGCGGTGGCAAGACGTCCGTGCCATACGAGGAGTGGCGTGCAGATTGTACTTTCTTTACTCGAAGTGTATTTTCATCATTAGCGGATAATCATGATAATTATAATGAGACTTATACTTATCATTGTCATAATAGACAAGGTTCAGCTAAAAATTGCAATCAAAGAGGGTACTGCAATGCCATGTACAGTCCAAGTGTCCTTTAGTTATTACTGGTTTTGGCGGGGAAAGGAATTTGGCGTGATTTGCCTGGTTACAATTTTCTATAAACTGAGTTGACATAAATCTATTATATCACTGATGTTGCTGTTGTTGGTAAATTATTCTCTTCTGTGCTTCCCTGGAGATGCCTCCTAACTGCTCGAGCTCTAGATTCCTTTACGATACTACTGCCGAAGCTCCTACTCTGCCAAACGACCTGCGGCCTTCTACCTCGGCCGCACCCTCGGCAACGTCGCAAAACGACGAGAGTTCAGACGAGGGGTCGAGGTCATCTGTAAACGGCAGCGGCAATGGCCGAGCTGGATTACGTGTCCCAGCACAACACGGGTCTAGCCTCGGATAAGCCGCTGTCTACTGCTGGAGCTCGAGTGTGGGAACAGAATGCTTTTGAGTTCGAGTGGAGCAAGTGGGAGAACATGCCAAGGTGCTCCGGGTTCTCTGGCTGTCCTGGAGATAAACATCCCGACCTACACAGCGAATCCACACCATTAGCCATCTGCTCCCACTTTGTCATCACTGAACTTGTGGACGTACAGGTCTATTGGATGGTACTAGAAGGCACTGTTCTACCTTCTTGACATGGCGGATGTCGATGCCTACATAGTGCTTAGGGCACTCGGAGACAGGATGAATCAGCTGGCTTTCCTGACAGAACTCGCATGCGAGATCTTGCAGGCGCTTACCTGCACGAGAGGGTCAGTGCCGAGCGCAGGCCCATTCCCTCAGTATGTTAGCACAGTGCCGTCTCCAGGGCAGTTCAATACACCAGCGGAAGAGAACAGATAGAGACCGCTACAGGCAGTGCAAGGTCCGCTACGACCATAGTGTGAGAAAAATGACCTAGACTGTAAATTCAGAGTGCGTTCTTGCCAGTAAACCTGCTTAAAGTGTTACCACGCTCTGAAGCAATACTAGTCCAGGCCATCTTCCTCTCTTGTACATTGTAAATAATAGAATGACATTTTTGTTAAAACAAATAAAACTGTAACAAAAAACTATTTTTATCATCCTAGGATCCCACATTTCTACCTTTACACAGAGTGTAAACCACATAATGAGCTAATATTGACTCCATACTACAAATATCAGTCTATTACAGCCATGACATAACATATCAAATGGCGAATATAGACCTCACAATATGGCAAAACATTAAAATCATGTATTACAGGAAAAGGCCGCCAGAATTCCAAAGAGAAAGTATATAATGCTACTGGAGCACGCAACTCCTCGCACAGCACGGGCCGAGGCTGCAAACAGTACCTGAGCAAGGGCCAGGTAGTTACCGGTGTTGCCCGGGAACTGGCCGATTACTCTTCACACACACCCGGAGTAATCTGGTTAACCTTCGGAACGTTCACTAACATGTTAACGTGTAGGTTATTGAACTATTGAACTTGTTTGTTTGTATCAGTACTGATCTCTACTCATGTTCTTGATTGGATTGTTTCCTTTCTCGTTTGCCTATTAACTGAATATTTTGTTCTTGATCTACTCCACTAATCATATGTCAATTTTATTTTGCTCTCTATCTAAAGTGTGGTCTTGGGACTCAAACCTTCGAACGTATAAAGGGCAGCTAAAAACGGGATACGTTTACACTAGCCTTTTCCAGCTTCATCACCTCCATGAAGACTATAATTATCTTCATAATCCCCATCTCATTAACCCTTTCACTGATCTATGACACAGAGATCCTCGATCATCACTATCATCATCATCATCATCATCACCATCGCCACCACGACCACCACCACTGTCATCATCATCATCATCATTATCAATTCTTCACCTCCTCCTCCTCCTCCCGAGAACGCAACACGAGAAGCTAAACTAAACGCGAAGTAGCGTGTGTGTGATATTGTGCGTTTTGACCCGTATTTAATGGAGAGACATAGAAACTGTCTTTGCTCGAGCGAGGGCTTCTCTACTTGATCGTCAGAGCTAGATTACTAAGCTGAACAACCACGTCATTAAACATTAAATAATATAGTTTAGGCATTTGCAATATTACTGGTGAAATTGGGAACATAGTAAAGACATTTCTAAACCTAAGTCACAACATCATTTTAAAGGGTTAAACCAGAGCGGTGACGGAAAAATAGCCTTGACTGAAAGAGTCGACACAAACCGGGACCATATTAGTATCTGCTGTGCGTTGTTAAAATGCCGTAATATTACCAACAATAAATATTGACACTATTGTATTTGTGTTTATATATTGATAACCAGACTTTAACCATCCTAAGAAACTCCTGCTAACATTTGTTTTGCCATGTAACAAAAGCGATTATTGAAGTCCAGAGCAACAGTGCTGCTCGTCATTATTGAAAGCAGACGGCAAACCAAATGCTTGCAAGTTACTTCGACATACAAATATGGAAATTATATCTTAAAATACCGTCCTAACAATTCTAAAGATCCTACAATTTTTCCTAAAATTATTCATACTATATTTGATATATTATCTTTGATCAAGACCACTGTGCATCTTTCTTTCTTGGCGACGAGATGTATTAACAATAATAGAGTATCACCGCAGCTCCTCCAAACAAAGCAAAAAAGTCCGAACTGACCATAATAAAGTATTGCCAGTACAGATCACTGCCTAAGGGTCTGCTATGTCCAACTTTTTCATCGTTTATAATATATATTTTTGTTCTTTTTATTTCTCCTAAGGGAACTTCCACGGCAAATGCGGTGAAGCAAAAGGGTCAACAAGTCTTTTAATTTTTTTCCTGTGGGGCTGTCAACAACTGTATGTCTTCTGTGGGGCTCAAAATGGCATGTTATTATACCTATCTTCCAAGACACATTATCGGGGGCGTGGTGCTTACTGGGATCTTCCTAATCGCCGGTTAGCCAATATTGGATCTCGTTTTCCAGAGTAGCTAGACCTACAGCCAAAACCATTGAAAAATGACAACATGGGGATATATATATGTATATCATCTCTCGAATTACAATAATCAAAGATAAAATAATATTCTTAGACCCACAAGAAAGATGTCATCCGTCGGGGTGGAGCAAGTCCAGGCTAGTGTACCCCCTGAGGCGGGAACATTAACCCTACGAATACTTTCTCCCAAGAGAGTATTTCAACGAATACCTTCTCCCAAGAGAGACCTTCCACGAATACTTTCTCCCAAGGCCGCACCTCCACCTCAGAGGCAGTACCTTCGTCGGGCATTAGTACATCACCTACTGCATACTATCAAAAACGGGAAGAAATCAATATTTTTAAAGAATAATAATCTGTGCTAAATATTTTTTCCCTCAAAGATCTACCAGAAGATTGAA